TTTCGTGGTCAGGAGTCAGTTAGATTCCTTGAAGTTATGCTAATCTCTTTCCTGTTGCATCTTTTCTTCTGATAGATTTTATGGAAGAAGAATGAGCTCGAGTCGATCACCCCGAAAGTGACGAAAAATAGATCAGGTCCATGGAGGGCGAACGTATCCCTGCATGTGTGCTTCTCTCTAGTCATTTCTGATTCGCGTTGCACCTCCGTAGATACGGTATCATCAATGGGTCTTCCAAGGCTCATATTATCGGCACATGCGAAACGCTTGCTAATGAGTGTACGGGTACGATGCAATGGACACTCGACGTGCATTCTATTGAGGACGATAACGGATGCGAGTTGTGGCGTCATGCTAGAATGCAGGTGATGGATGACACGAATAAACATCATGTATGGCACCATTTCAATTTAAGTGCCTGAAAACAGTCGTCATCATCTATCTTGCGGTAATCTTTACGACACTTTCGCAAAAACAGCTTTCGAATAATATTTTTTGCCATGCTACCACAAGCACGAATAGCTGTTGCATAGCGAGCAAGATTTTTTTGATATCGGCGAAATTAAGTCAAATGAATCATGAATATAAGACGATGTTAGAATCCATTGCTGCCCGTAATGCTAGGCATGGAGTGTGTCTTTCTCGGGAATCGGTGCCGAAGTGTGGATGTGTCTGTTTGGAGAATCGAGTATCAAACCTTAGCGAAGGTATAGGAAGCGTTCAGATTGTTCATTCTGCATTTTGAGAAGAGATGGGTGTTGTCAGGGCGTCAGGGTGGAATGACAGAGCGTCGTAGAGAATAAACCTTTGTCGATCGTTGGGCGGAATGTCAAGATTCTTCCATCATTTCAGGTTAGTGGAGACACAGAAGTGCTAGAAGTTCTATTGTGAATGCTACAACACTTGATAGATCATCGGGAACTCCACCTATATCATTGTTTCCAGACCATTCCGAAAAAGTGGAGCATGTTGATGTGCAGGTAGTTTCTGGATGCTGAAAATGTTCAAACGCGTTCGACCGGTGTTCCGCTCTAAATTCTTCACAATTCTAGGTGTAAATGCTATGAAAATTGATGGAAACCGGAAATCAGTGCGCTCTATGTAACTAAATATCTGAACATCAGTTTCTTCTCTTTCGCTCTTAGTTTATTTGGATGGGAAGTTGCACATATTTGAATGCATGGCAAAATAATAGCTGATTGAATAAGGTGAGTGAATTTTGAAGTTAAGTGAATTCCTCAGTGGAATGAAATGGTTTTCCTTCAGTCGACTTTGGAAAGCCTAACATGCTTTCCAAAGTAGACTGAAGGAAAACCATTTCAAGGTTGACTGCACAGACGTTTCTCGCAACTTCTAGATAGGCCATATGCCCAGTTCAGAGGGAGAAACAATCAATTTTTCGAAATCCATCTGTATTGCAACTAGTACGTCTTTCTTGCTGGTCTTCTGCCCAATCGTTAATTACATTGTTTGACAGACCTTGGGAAAAATCATGTTTATGTTGGCTTGCACAAACCTAACACCAGTTGTCCCCAACCTCTGGGAGACATTGGATTTTTCATGCATTCAAAAGACTTTATCATTCCAGTCCGCACTGATTTTGTACTTGTACACAGTACAACTCGAAAAGCGGAAGTAAAACCTAGCAACGTCAATGCACGCACTGTTCCCTCTTTGCGCGCAGCATTACTTCCTTTCAAATCTTCTCCTCGGTGTTTGGAGCCTCTAACAACAATTTATTGAGGGATCTATCTGCAGAGTAAAGATAGCAGTAGTCTGCTCGATTACTGGGCGTGGTCGGCCTGAATAGGGCGTGATGGGAAGACGACTGGTGCGTGTGCGTGCTTTGCCGGCCTTTGAAAGCGAGTACAAAAGACTGAATAGAGGGAATGGAGCGGTGGATTGAAAAGAAACAATGCGCTGTAATGATTGGCCTCCACAATGCGCCGCATAAGCCATTATATAGAGTGTGCAAGAGGAATCCTGCTGCTCATAGCGTTTGAGCCTTCATTTTGCCTTGTTTGTGATCACAGAGCAACTTTATGCATTCGTATATTGTCGGTTTGCACACCTTATTCCTCTGGTATGTATCCTACGGTGCAAATGTATTGTCATCCATGCGGCCTCTTAATCATTTCGCCATACGGTATCTGACTCACGTCCGAATATTGATATTCTTTGAGCTACAGTAGAATTTCTTCTTTCTAGTGAGTTCTCCATTATGTCATATGCTTGAAGCAAATATAAAGTATCTCCATATGGAGAGCCTGTACAGTTCAGGAATTTTCTAGAAAATACAAATCGTGTTGAGACACGTGCACAAGTTAGCGGAGCTTTGATGATAGTCACACAAATCGGGTATTCGTGGTGATGAGCTCACACTGTAAGGCGATATTAGCCTTTATCGTAGACTTAGAAACGCACAATCCTTTCTCCCTCTGTTTAAATCTTCTCGAAATCATCATTTACAGTGTAATTGGCTGTTCAAGGTTCAGCATTGATTGTTTTGACCTTGTCTGTGCGGAGTATCGTACTACAATGAATTCATTTGCTTCTTACATTAATTTATACTGCCATCAAATCGTCTCCGTTATCCGAACATAGAAAAGTGCTTTGCTGTATATTTGAGACATGAGGGCAGTGATTGAGGCATTGCAAACAATCGGAGATGGCAGTTGAGGAACGCTATACTGTCTGGCAGATCTTCCTACACCTCGTAAAGTTCTTTCCTGTTAACTGCTACTATTATCGGAGCGTCTGACTGGTTTCTGCTTCTCGTTCACAATGCACACAAGTATCCACTTCATGTTCCATGCAAAAGTATATTCAAGGAACCTCGGATATATTTAATATTTCATGCATCTCAATGGAACGTCGGACGTTCCATTGAAATGCATGAAATATGTAATATATTTGAATTTTCTTCAATATATTTCCAAAATTCAAAGAATGTCAATATCCGGACCTTTCTATGAAATTTCGGGAAACGTTATACACGATCTGGCGTCGAAAAAATGCATATGTCGTGCGCCTAACTCCCTTTGAATTGTCACGGTGAGTGTCTGCTGTCTTTATCATCCCAACTAGTCATGTGCTCAGTATAAGATTTCACGGCAGGATGAACTCACACTGCGAAAACGTAATTGTACAAAATTTGGGCAGATGATAAAGCTATGCTCCATCCATTTCAATTTGCAGTACGCCGGTATTATCAACTATGTTCTGTGCTAACATGGGAATTTCTTTGATTTTGTCTCAGCTGAATCCGGAGGGTCTTTTGGTCGTGATATATCTGAAATGTGCTGTTACTCATTGAGCTGTCACAGTATATTGTGCACAATATTAATAGTGCTCTCTCCCTGTATATCGGCTGGAATTTCAGGAATGTTTTCGGGAAGAGTGTCTTTTTTTGAATCTTTTTTCTTGAGTTTTTAGATAGTATAGAGTTACTCGTTTAGGCAGTGTACAGTTACTCGTGGCGTACTCAGATGTCGGTAAAATGAAAGCTATATACAACTTATTCCACAATTCTCCAGGTTTTGATATAGCAAAAGTAAAACCCATCCGTAGACCAAACAACTGAGTGGACAACCCTAAAGTTATGAAAGTAACTGAAAAAAAGAACCCTATATTGGCATGAAAATATGCTTTTAATTAGCATATTTAGTTAGCATATCATATCACACATACTACTATGAATGTTCGCATCATAAATTCATGTTTTGTGCTTTTCTGATCTTTTTATTGCTACCACTATTTAGTTGATGACTTACCGTTCTTTGACAAACGAATTTAGATGTCAAAAGAGCGCTTAGCAGAAATATCGGCTCGCTCTATTTTTGTCATTTATAACATCTTTTCGTAGCGGCATATATGCATCACTAATGAGCATGGAGACTTCTTTCAAAGTAGGATACTGTAGGTTTGGTAAATCGATCTATTCTGTTTTACTGCCGGGTAAACATGATTTGACTTCGTCTAGACAAATACCAGCGCGGCAAGAACTAAGCGAGAAGAGGGAGGGAGAAACGACGGTATATAGCTGTCGAGAGATTATATATATATATATCTCATGTCTTACTATTCTATTATGTAGAACACAGCAAGTAGTGGAAAAAGGGAAGGGTAGCTCAGAAAGGTGACTTGGTGAACTGACGACCCTTCAACACCCAACCCAATCATCAAAAGATTAGCGCGCGATTAAGCGATTTTGGGAGTCGCGGCCTTCATGCCAGTAAACGGATTGTGAATTACTCTGCCATAACGCTCAATTTTCGAAGAGTTGGTTGTTACAATGGTGGATTGCGAAACTGGTAATGGCAATAATTGAATACTGTTCGAAGTTGAACTCTATGGAGCCCTGAATACGATGTGATGCGTGGTTGGCAAAGCTTGACCTGGTCAACTGACATATACATTGTCACTTGTTCCACTGTCGCATAACGACAACCACATTGCACTGGGCTTATCTTGCACTTAAAATTGTGCTATAGAAAAGTCAGCTACAAAAAACTTTCTGGCAAACCTCCCTGAAGTAGTCCGTTCTACCGATCTAGTGACCGTTTTATCGATTTCTATCATTGCATAGCAAAAAATCAACTTTTTCTTGTACGTATGTTCTAAAGAACTCTATCTTATGGGGTACGTTCAAAGTGTCACGTTGAACAAACCATATTTCAGTGTAACTTATGCACCGGTTTGTGCAAGTTATTGAGCCTTTCGGCTCATATTTGCGAATCCTCATAAGAATACCGGCAATATTGTCATTATCGAATCTCACTGGCACCTGACGACTACGTCGGCTTAGACGGTAAGGGTTACGCCCTCGTGCGTCGTTGATTGGAGGAATCGTATTGCTCCGCCCACTTTTGTTGAGGCGCACTCAGGCGCCGATCTTCTATTGTGTTGGTGTGGTTGTGCCGATTGTCCGTTCCGCCTCTACGGATAATATCCCGAGTTGTGTAAATTAGACTCCTTATTTACTGACAGTATTGGCAAGGATGATGAGTATGATGGAGCAAGAACTAAAACAGGTATGTCAATAATTTGTTTCGTTTCATTAGTGATTTGGAAGAACTTGAACGTCTCCGTATAGATGACCGACTACAATCATATATGGCCGGGAGTGGGTGGGTTTCAACTCCCACCCACATCCACAAGTCATTTGGCTGCTCAGAATGTTCCTGATGATCTCTCACCCGCTCCTGATTCACCAGATTCTTCGAAGGACGGAAAAAAGAATGATGACAGGTTCCATATATGTCTATCATCTTGTCTTGCTGACTGAACCATCGCAACAAACACAAGACAGACTCTTTTTCCTCCTGTCTCATTTGAGTGGCAATCAAATCTTATGAGAAACTCGAAATATTGGTTCCCGCAATGCATGGATTATAACGAAATTCTCTAATCGAAGGAAGGTTCAAAACAGCGTTGATAAGTGCTTTGTCAAGGTTGCATTTTCTGAATGTTTCCATTGCCTACCACTACTCTCAGTCCTGCCTTTGTTCAATCCAAGCGCATTTCGGTTGCATTTCGGTTTGCCCTGCTTGAAAACTTGTATGCATAGCTATCGGCTCTCCCAAATCCTAATATTTTTTTGAACTTGGACCATAACTGTCTGTTCCATGAAAGACCGAATTTCTAATTTAGAGTGAAACGCCCAATGAACGCATTCATGGTGTGGAGTAGGAGCAAACGCAGGTTGATGGCTCAGGTTCCTAATTAAACCTTATTCTTAGTCTTTTGTAATCACAAAATCCTGGTACTGCAGGAGAATCCTAAAATGCACAATTCCGAAATTAGCAAAAGGCTCGGAGCGGAATGGAAGTGTCTGAGTGACACCGAAAAGAGGCCTTTTATCGATGAGGCCAAACGATTACGTTCGATTCATATGAAGGTTAGTGGTATGGAAGCCTACCTTATTTGTACGAATGAGTTATCACTAAGTATACTATCAACACTTTTAGGAACATCCTGATTATAAATATCGTCCGCGAAGGAAAACGAAAACTTTGCAAAAGAAAACACTTCCAATAGGACCTTTTTCAACACTGGATTCTTTGAAACCTCAGGTACGTAATTTTCTTTTGTCCCGTACAGGTGATATTGATATGTGAACGATTCTCGATTGGAAGCTACTGTACTGAAGAGGTTTTTACGCGTGTGTGCGTTTCACACAATCAATGTTGCGCCATCGTGCCATCTGAATGCTGCTTTGTTCCCGACCCCCTCTCTCGCATACTTCACCCCACTTCATCGATTTACTTCGAATACAGCGTCTTTAGCTTTCTCTTTTACAACTGAGAGACTGTAACAACAAAATCGTTGCAACTTTCAGGCGTACAGCTCAGTCCAACCATGGAATGGTAACACTGCATATCCATTCGACACCTCTTACGGACTATATCCTCGAACAGGATACGAAATGCTTAATCAACTACCGTATCTCGACGGCTCACCATCACAGTACACCCATCCTCCCCTTGGTAGCGCTTATCCCGTAAACTACCTCACTCCAGCCCCTGTAGTCAAGTCTGAAGTAGAAGCCTCTCCTGAGAACACTGAAACTTCTCTGGACCCTGGTCATTTTCGGGCATTTTATGATCCCTCCAAGGATCCAATGACATCGATGTATTCAAATCCGCTTTCATATTCGTCCCTTGAAAGCATGGGACTAACGCAGTCCATGCCTCAGTCTCATGTCACCTCTTAGGCAAGCCAACGGGTTCGGAGGACACCTTGAATTCAGTTTCACTCTCCTTTCTGACCTGCGTTCCATTAACGATTGATTCCTCATGCAGTTAGTTGGAGTGATTGAAAATCGTCCTCAGAGAAGACTCGCTAACCGTGCCACTGCTAGCGTTTGTCTTGAACTCTAGCTAATATAACTCAGTCGCCTCACAACGTATATTTATTGTGCATGTGATAAAGTCTCAGTGTCATATATTACCTCCTAACTGAGTGTATTTTACGTTACACAAGAAGAATATGTTCGCAGTTCGATAGGCATCAAATCATGAAGCAGGTCACTAAAAGTTATTTACAACCTTACTCATTACCCAGCTGTGTTTCTACATTCATGAATATCTTGATAAAGTATATCATCAAAATCGAGCTAATGGCCTCTAAGAATTACGAATAAGAAATTCTTTACATGTTCTCCGTTTTATCGATTTTGCGTGACATGAATATGTTCTGAGCTCCTTGAAGTTTTTCCCACTGTGGAATTCGCTATTTAGTACTGATGTGGTGCGAAACTCTTTACAAGGGGTCATGAATTCAACGGGAATAAGGGTAGCCATGCAATAGCTATCTAATATTTCGTTTTGAAAGAATGTCTCGCTTCTTCAATATGGAAAGGGTGCGATGGCAACAGGCGGTACCGCCGGTGCATTTCACAACTTCTGTGTAGATCCATCGTTCTGAGCTATTATGAAAAGGCCAGACCCGGTGCGACAACGGATCGTATTTCTATGTGTTTTGTGGCAGCAAACCGGACGACGCTCGCGACGATTCGTCTCACAGGACCAGAACAAAGCATTACAACCACTCCAATATTATTCAGCGGATATCATCAATTTTTCAAGTTTCAAACGTAATGGTGGATCTTCGCCTTCGATTTTGTGTACGAAAATCAAAAAAGTTCAAAACTATCACTATATTTTGGAAACTGAAACGAAAGACTCTCTGAGCGCAAACAAATGACCGGCTAAAACACTCCTGCACTTTTAGGAATGACTTTTTCCAGTTGAATGCTACCGGTACTGCCCGCGAGAACGCCTTACTACATGATAGTTTTGTGAGTTCACACCGTGTCCTCGTAAGTTTGCAATAGCTTACAAAAACTAGAGAACTCGACGGTTGAAGAATGATCAAATGTTGAAGCAGAACTGTGAACAAGCATGAACAGTGGAAACAGAAGTAGATTTTTGTGATTACTAGTGAGGGTGACACGAAAGAAGTACCAGAAGATTTCTCTCGCTCCGGCAACTCCATTATTGTGCCACCAAAGTAGTTCGCGGTTCATTATGCTCCTTTAAAGGAAGCATTCTCCACTTGCTTGGGGTATTTAATATCGACGCTTGCTACAACTCGACGCGGATAACGCTGCGGGGCGTCCGGAAGCCCCGCTAACCATGTTTTGGTTTCATTCTGAAATATCGTATACGTGGGCCAATTTGCGGGTCGTTTCCTACCGTATTTCGCAAGCTCAGCGGGTAGGCGAGCAACATGTTCGTTTTATTACACACATCGCGTTTGCAAAAATGGAGGCCGGTGTTGTTCGAAAAGGTAATATGTGACAGCCACGATATGTTCTTATTCCTGAGTGTTAACAGGGACCACTTGTTACCTCTCTGCGGAAATAACTTTTCTTTCATACCATAACCATTCCCTATTGACTTTACATTTTCAATGTACAAACATACTCGAGGCTGCACCCTTTTTTTTCTCTCGAAAGACTTGTTAACGTTGCGCAGTCGAATTCCCACGAAGAAAATATGAACGAAGCATCACGTAGTATTTGATACTCGTCAACACTCTTAGACTGGAGTGCAATTAATAGTGGCTTACCTAGAAGAAACCGAAGTACCACCGTACGCTCATCGCGGGGTGCCCAACTCTCTACTAATTAGTCTCGCGCTATTGTTCGCAGGCCAATTGCTCAGTCCACAGGTCGGCCCACCACAATAGCCTGAACCGTAATCGAAAGATTACCTCTACCCTTATTCATGCATGAAGCTAGATTCATTTCAGTACAACGGTCTTTCATAAGCGCTAACAATAGACCGTAATCAAACAAAACGAGAAAGCCTATTGTAACAGAGCAGGATATCCCAACCCTTGGACAAATGAATGGTTAAGACAAATGGCAGCAGCTCATTGCAGTTGACGACATGGGCACTGTAGTATTTTCAGTGGTGACGGCAATAAACACTGTGAAATAGTTTTGAATTACGAATTACGCGGGTGTGGCATAAAGACGAGTTGCTTGTTTTGTAACGAATTTAATGGGAGTGCTGTAAAAACAATTTGTTGGTGTCATAAGTTTATAGATCGAGATGCAAATTTAAAACTTTGTTCTCCTTAAAAATGAACAATGTTGGCACGAGTATTTCTGAACTGAACCGCTCAAGAGAAACAGCAACCTTATCAGCAGTCTTTCTGCTGTTAGGAGAATGTTGAGTAGACTTGTTTCTGAAATACATCTTTGCAAACAACAACTCGGAGATTGTATGATCAATTCTGTACAATACAGCTAGCTATATAATTACTCATATGAAGGTGGTGGTTACATTAGTGCAGAGCAGTCCAGAAACAACCAAGTACTGTCCTATAATTGTCAGATTAATCGTGCATAGCGACTGCGAAGAGACTCATGCTGTTATGAGATGTAATCCGGTCATGCCCTTTCACCATTCCGCTTCCGTGGCAACGTCTTCTGCCTCTAATGAGTACACACTAAACGTCATCAGCATAAGCCACAAACCATTATCAAAAAAAAAAACATGCTGAAAACGAATTAGGGACGAAAACTATCGGCTCTGACCTAAATTGTTTTCATACAAGCTGATCAATTAACAAATAGCTTAATTCCAAAGAAGGGGTACGGTAATACTGATGTGGACCATTCCTACAGACTATAGGATAATGGATAACGTACTATGAACACCTGAAATAGGGAATTGGCACGGCCCCGTCGGCGCGGGATTCTTCTGTTCAAGGCTTGCTCAATTTCCAATAGTCCACTGCAAATACTGCAATCTGACATCTTCATATTCTAAGTTGACATCCTGAATTCCACTGTCGAAAGATGAGTTGCACTTGAAATTCAGTTACCGTTTATCATGATGGCAATAAATTGAAGTGCTCGAATAATATTTGTCTTTTTCTATTGATATCTCAGGATAAGCGACTTACGGGACTAGGGCTCATTCTAGTGTTTTAGTTTCAAATGGAATGTCGCTAGAGGGAACAGGGAAAGGCAAACTGCGTCCGCCACCTATCAACGTCGCTATTGCAGCATACTTCGAAATGCACATCATTTCACGATTCCGGTAAAGCTCCGAAATTGCCTACAAAACAAATTTAAAAGACTGGATTACAAAAGCTTATTGAGCGTGCAGAACATGCACATCATTAATCACGCACGTTCCTGGGATGCGCTTCGCACTGGACTTCCTTTGAATTGTAGGGGTGGTTTGAATTGAATGCGTATGTGGCCTATACAATGTTTTACCTGTGGAATGGAATTGAAATGGAGTGTTAGCCTAGCCTGTGCGAGCTTCGATTCGGGATTCAATCTTGGCACCATGCGTGCAGGACTAGGACTTTCTGCGCACCTCTTGCCGCTACGCCAGCCCCGCTCCAGCCTCGCACGTTCAGCATTATTTTGAATATCCAGAAAGGCAAAATCATCAGTTGCCGAATGAATACTTGCATAATAGGTGAAAACAGAACCTTTTCCAATGCATCTCCATGAAGAGCAGAAACGTAGATGTAGTGATAAACAGGAGCATGTGATGGGAGATGAGCTGGGAGATGAAACATTTAGCAAGTAAAAATGAAAAGAGCAAAATGTCAAACATAGATTGGCGAAGGAAGGGAAACAGAGGCCGATTGAGACTTCTTCAAGATCACACCTTATTCAGAGCGTATAGAGCGCAAGATTAGGATGTGCATTCTAGTTCTGTTGATGACTACGTTGTTGTAGGAAAAAACCAGTGCACCAGAAAAGAAAAACGAGTAAAATCGGAAAAGAATCCCAAACGTAGAGCGCCTTTTATGTAATGGAACGAGTTGAGCAGTCGAAACACTGAGTCAAAACTTATTGCATTCACTTGGCCAGCACTGCCATAATCCTATTCACTCATTTTAAGAAAAAGAAGAATCGTTAACAAAGGTCCACATTTGTTCATAAATAGGAGACATTAGAGAGCTACACTTTTATGAGAGCAGGCATTGTCAGGCTGTGAAAACGGGAATTGATCTGACTGAGCATTCCTGTCTCGTTAGGATATCACCTGTAAAAAAGGGAAATCTGAGCCGAGGAGGAAACCGTTTTTTTGACCCCTCTGATTTTGGAAACAATAAACCTAAGGAAACCTTCAGAATTTGCTACCTTCAGAGTTAGAGTACTTCTAGGATGAGAGGTTTATCGAAGGAAGGAACGATGTTTTTCCTCACCTCTTACCTCTTATTTACCTCTTCTTTAATAGGAATTTTTAATAAACAGGCTTCTGCATTCCATTTACGAGAGGAAAGAGAGAAGAAGCTAAAGTGAATATACAACATTTATTAGCAAATGTCGGAAAAGAAGCAAAAACGGAGCCAACGAAATATACCATATCCTTGGAAGCACAGAATGTTCGATCATAGGAACTTGGAGAGAACGGAATTACTAGATATGAGGGCCAAGAGATTTGAGAGTATTCTCTAGAGAAGAATAATATATCACCGGAATCCCCGAGAGATGTGCCATTGGTTGCTAACACTTCGTGAAATTCTCGACATTCTCGACTCTGCTGTCCTTCTTGCTTTGACGAAGATTTCGGAGGTTTGGACAACGCGAAAGTAGGATGAGCATGCGGTCAGAGTCAGCCAGCGCGCCGTGAAAAGAGTAATGGCAGGAGAGATCAGAGCTTCATCGTCGAATCGACATCACAGTAGCCGTTGCTCGTGTTGACGAATCGAGGATCAGATAATAATGTGGTC